CACTCTGCTTCTGGTCCTTCTGGTCTCGCGTCGGGACTTAGCCGTCTCTGTCGCTCACATCGCATCGCTTCCGTTTCCCGACGGAATTTCGACGGTCGCCACTTACGCTTGCCTTGCCTGCTATTGACTGACCAGCATAAGGCAGAGTTGTATGAGTCGTACATAAGGAGCCATACCGCGAACCTCATACATCAGACCTCAGTCACTCATCTCGCGAGGCGTCCTCTTCTCGCGTCTCTCGCTCTTTCGCGATTTCCCTCGCGATCTCTCCTCGCTCTCAATAGTCTGTCCTACGGCGACAGAATGTTCAATTCGCCCAGACACCAGTCACGTCTGAGAACGTCTTAGACTCCGCCGACTGATTCTGATTGCATGCCGCCCGTCTCTAACGCGCCACCCACGCACCGAACGCGGCGGCGGCTCGCAGGAGACACGCAGAATGCCTGGAATCTTTAACATCTGGCCCGCTCACGGGCCCGCTACTGCTAGCAGTAACTTCCGAACCGCTCCCGCCGCATCTTCCGCCGCATCTGCCGCTGGGAATTTCTTCAGCAAGCAGGAGTATCTGTCGTTTGCCGTTGACCACCATGTCGCGGCAAAACCGGCCGACCTGGTGTTGACGGCGGAGCTCTCCGCAATCGCCGGCGCGATTCCCGCTCCGGTGTTGCCGCATCAGACGCCCGCTTCCCCCGCGGTGAAATCGCTGCTGTTCAACCAGCCGTCGATCTCGCCGCACAACCCGCCGCCTCTTCCGCTCGCTGGTATTGGCGCGCTGCAGCACATCCTTCGTACTGCAGCTGCCGGCGCTAATTCCGGTGAACGTAGCCGCGGCTGCACTAGCGGCACGCTTCTCGCAGCGCAAATTACAGCAGTCGGCGGGCCGGCAGCGGAAAAGTCTGCAGCGGCAAAGTCGGGGGATGGCGCAGCAGCGGCAACTGCGGCGGTTACTGCGGCGAACAGCGGCAACACCCGAGGGCTGCATTTAATCCACGGGGCATGGCCTACGGGCAGTCACGGGAAGACCGCCGCAAGTCACGGCGCCAAGAGCGGCGGCAGCTACGACAGCAACAGGTGTGTTTCGAAGCACTTAGGTTTGCAATAATGTTTCAATTATCACTTCCCTCCTCCCCGCTATCCCCGCCTGCCCCTACCCCCATGGTTATTAGCTCATTTTGTCTCTTCGACCGCTGGCTTACCCGTTTATGTTCCTCCCCCCCCTTCCCTCCCTTCCCCACTTCCCCCTCCCCCACTTCCCCCTCCCCCTCCTCCCCTTCCCCCGCTCCTTCCTCTGTGCAGTTCCGGCAGCGCGCACGATCCGTCGTCCGTGTGTTTGGCGGAAATGGTTTCCGATTTCATGGAGACCGGCTCGGCTGAGAGCCACACTCTCGACCATCGTCTGCTTGACGCGATTCACGGCAGCGAGGGTGGCTATAACGCGGATGCGATGTACGCGCGCATGGCGGAGCAGGACGCGCAGGCTCCGCGAATGGGGGAGAGCGGCGGGTGGTGCGGAATGGGGGATGTTTCGAGCCTCATTGAGGTGAGGGGGAGTGGGAATATGGGGGAATGAGGGAGGCGGAATGGGGACGGGAATGGGGATGGGGATGGCCAATGAGAATGATTTGATGTAGCTGCTGTTATCCTCCCTATCGACCGTGGAATGCTCGACTCACCCGCGCCCCTCCCCTTTTTTCTCCGCCCTTCCCCCTTTGCGCTCCTCCCCCTTTCTCTCCCCCAGTCCCTCAGCGCCTGCACCTCCGCGGACGAGTGCCAGCTGTTCGCTGACGTCATCGCCGCCCTAAAAACCGCCAAGAAGGAAGCTTCCTCCTCAAATGCTGCAGGCGGAAGCGGTAACGGCAGCAGTGCCGCCACCAGCAGCAGCAGCAGCAGCAGCAGCAGCAGCAACGGCAATCTGAGGCGGGCTGTGATGTGCCAGCTTCGGTCTAAAGGGTACGATGCTGCAGTGTGCAAGGCACGGTGGGAGCACTCCAAGGGCCTCCCTGGCGGCACTTACGAGTACATAGACGTCATTCTGCCGTGCCATGGCAACAACAGCACCACCACCAGCAGCTGCAGCACGGTCAACAACACCAACACCAGCGCTTCTGCCACCACCACCGCCACCGCTGCCACCGCTGCCAACCCGTCTCCGTTCTCGCCATCCGACCGAATCATCGTAGACATTGAGTTCCGCGCGCAGTTCCAAATCGCACGCCCCACCTTCGCCTTTGACGCCGTCGTCCACTCCGCGCCCATCATCTTCGTCGGCCGTCTCAACCGCCTGCTCAAGATCACTGAAGTGTTGGCAGATGCCACAAGGCAGAGTCTGAGGGAGCAGGGCCTGCACCTGCCGCCCTGGCGCCGGGCCGAGTATCTCCGGACCAAGTGGGCTGGCCCGTACCGGAGGACCACGAACCAGATTCCAAGGTCCGGGAGCAGCACGCAGCTGGCTGGAGGTTCGGGAGTCAGCCAAGTGACTCCGGCTGCTGTTGCTGCTGATCTCTTTAGGCTTCCCGCGTCGCGGCAGCAAGCTGCGCTTGGGCGGCGTGGGCAGGAGGTGCACCAGCAGCAACCCCATCACCAGCTGCATCACCAGCCCCATCAGCAGCCTCGTCAGCAACCCTCCCTTGCCGCCTCACGGCCGGTTTTCCTGCCTCTCAATGCAGCACGCCCTGTGCCTGCCATGCTCCCTGCACCGCCTGCCGCCGCTGCCCCCTGTGCTGTGCCTGGTAACCCGTTTGCCGTAACCGAGAAGAGGAACACGGTTACCATGTACGGCAAGAAGCCAAGCGCGGTCACAGGATTCGGCCATGAGGTTGTGGAAGGAGGGGCGTCGGGTGCGGCGATGACAGCAGAGCATGTGAGCCAAGGGCGTGGCATGGTGATGCGGAGTGGTGTGAGTCACGTGAGCCAGATTGGGTTGGAGATGCGGAGATTGGCAGAGGAGAGAGCGTACAGGCAGCACGGTTACTGCTGATGACGCTGGTTACCACTAGTAGCAGCAGCAGCAGCAGCAGCAGCTGCTGATGCTGATGTTGATGCTGGTTGCTGCTGGTGGTGGGAGTGGCTGGAGCAGCGGTTTCTGTGTGAGTCAGCTCTGCTGACATGTGCAACGTATACGGAGGGGCATTTCTAACTTTGCCCAGTGCTGTGTTGAGCAGCAAAAAGTTTGTTTTTTTCCACTTGAGGCGCCTCAAGATCCCGGTGCTGCAGGCAGCAGCGGAACCACTTTCATGTGGCGGGACTTATCTTTTTTCGCCACATTGCCTTCAATGGTGGGAGTTCCCCACTCGCCTAGCCGTTGTGAAGGCACCGTCCATCCTATCCAGCTTTTGTGAAGGATGCAATTTTGTTGAAATGTTTGGGTTTCCTTGGGAGTTTTGTTCCTTCGTTGATGTGTTCCCTTGTGTGCCCTTCTGTGTGCATATTTTGTGATTTGAGGTTTCCTGTGCGCTCAAGTGCCCAGCAAGAGCAGCTTGTTCAAATTCATTTTCTTTGTAAATGAATGAAATTAATATAAACTGACTAGATAATAGTTGATTGAAACTTCGAGATCCTGTCGTACTCGAATTTGGGTCCTAGTCATGTTGTGCGAAACGCACAGCGTTACACATTATACTTCGCCTGGGCCTCAAATTTCCCTCGAATTTGCCGAACCTGGTCTGACAGCACCCATCCGCACATCATACAGCGCCTGGGCCTTGAAAACTCCGCACGGCTTGTGCGTGACTTCCCCCCTATGCCTGCTCATCCCGCCCTCCCGGTTGGCGGACCTGTTCGTTCCGTAAATTCGTTTAAACACGGCACAATACGGTTCTGTGCGTTTCACGACGGTGATTGCGTAAAAATTTAACACTTTTCAGTGCATGCAACTGATCATCACAAACTGCCTGATCATTTCATAACAAGGTCGTGGAGTGCCTACCTGGTCATTCGTTAGTTCTTTGCTTGCTAGCGGCGTTCGCTGTCGCGGATCATTCGTCTTAGGCAGGTTGGCTTCTTAGAGGACGACGGAAATGGGCTGAAATCTCTCCAATAATGACTTATTCCGTCAAGAAGGACGTAGTCATCGTGCAGAAGAAACATTCCTAGTTGTCGTGTCCTCAGGGAGTACTCGCTGGTGAAGAAGACTTTCTCATTTCTGATTCTCCAAACTCTAGTTGATCCTGAGAGGAATGCTCTGATTCCGGACAAGGTGCGTTGCCTTGATGGCTCGCTCCGCGTGGCCAGCACGTGCAGGCACGTTGCAGCCACGTGGCGCTTGGCCGAGCCACGGAAGTCTATGCACCCTAGGTTTGATCCTCGCTACAATCACGTCGGTGGCGATACGAGTGGTCGCAGGAACGACGGATATCCACCTGGATAGCAGCTGCATTGTCCCTTTTAGCTCCCTTTTGCAAAGAATACGCACCTTCAGCAGCACCAGCAGCAGCAGCAGCGGGTGTTGCAAGAGCAGAATATTTGGCGATCCTTCCGAAGAAGCTCCAAACGCAGCGAAGGAAGACATGGATCATGAAAGGCTTGCTCGTTTGGCAAGCGTCGCTAAAAAACACGCGAGTGTTTGTCAGTGTGGGTCCAAGAGCTGGCTGGATACTGCTGGTTGTTTAGCGGAACGTAACTGTTCCGATATGCGTTCATGCTCGACTTGGAAAGGGCCTCTTCTGACAGCTCATAAGGCGGATGACCATGACCAGGATTCTGCGCAGGGTGAACGTTGTTCAGGGTCAGGTTCGGGGCTAGGTTCGGAGTCCGGTTTGGGAATGGAGCTGGTAGCAGGGTTGCCATCAGAGATTTGGAGGGAGGGATGGCAAGTCGAGGAAGCAGAGAGGAACGGAGGGACGCAAGAAGGCACTAATGGGACGGAATTTGTTACAATCAGACCATCTCAAGCTGAAGCTTTAAAGACAGCAGAGGAGGTTCCCAACGCGGGAGAACAGGCTTGGGAAAGTACAGCGAGGCTCGGCAAAAAGGCTTCTGAGGCTCAGCTTCGGGAAGTCGTCATGGAGCCTGTGGTAGACGAATGGATAGTCCGGTTCACTTCGAACGAACCTGTGGAGGTGCATCGGCAACGGCTGTTAGACGCTCTAGAACCTCCCCAAAATCCGGACGCCAGCCAATCAGGAGGCTTGAGTGATTCAGGAAGCACTGGCAGTCAGTCAGGCATCGGCCAATCAGGTGCTGCCAGATGGCACTGGGTAGAACGGGCGAATCCAGCCATGGCCTTTCCAACGGATTTTGGCGTTTTGCTGGTTAAGGGAGCTGAGACGCAAGGGGAGGACGGGGTGAGGGGGACAGGGGGCAATGAGTGGGAGGATCTGAAGCGTCGGATTGAGGCCGTTCCGTTTGTGAAGGATGTGCACCGTCAGATGAAGTACACTCGTTCACTGATGTACAGTGAAGGGGAGCAAGAAGGGGGAGAGAGAAAAGGTGCTGAAAACGAAAGGAGGAGAGGAGGAGAGGGAGAAAATCAGAGAGGAGGAGAGAGAGGAAAAAGAAGAGGGAGTCGGATTGCAGGAGGAGAGACAGATAAGGCTGAACAGGACCCATGGCTTGAAGGGTGGGGGGAGGAGGAGGAAGGGGGAGGGTGGGATGTGAGGGGTCCGGTGAGGAAACCTCCTGGAAGGCTCCGAACGAGAATGTCATTCGAGGAGGGGGAGATCCCAGAGGGACGAGCGGGAGGGTCAAGGGGTTTGACTGGGAGGGTTCAAGGTTTTGGGGTTGGGGGCGAGGGGAAGAGGGGCAGGCGAAAGGAGGACGGGGAGGATGAAGAGGATAGGATGCGTGTGGGTGCGAGGGAGTTGAGATGGGTGGAGAGCAGTGAAGAGGGAGGGGAAGTGGTGGGTGCAAGCGAGGGACGATCAAGGAGAAGGAAGAGGGGAGGGATGGAGGAAAGGAGGAGGAGGAACAGGCAAAAGAGGCGAAAGTGGCAGATGAGGCAGTTGGAAGAGTCCTTTGAGGAAAAGCATGGGATTCTTCAAAGTGATTTATCTGCTGCTGGGTCGTTTCTCAGTAGGGCCTGGAATGTGTCGGCTGCTGCTGTCAACCGCCGACACCTGATGCAGGTGGGATTTGTGCAGATGCGAACTGAGACAGTTGGGAACTGAGGCAGGTGCGAACTGAGGCAGGTGGGAACTGAGGCAGGTGCGAACTGAGGCAGGTGGGCACTGAGGCAGGTGGCAACTGAGGCAGGTGGGAACTGAGACAGGTGGCAACTGAGGCAGGTGGCAACTGAGGCAGGTGGGAACTGATGCAGGAAGAAGCGCTTGAAAGGGTCATTTGAGGGTAGGCATGAGCCTCCCTCATTGACTGGTTGATGGGTCATTGCTTAGCAATGTGACCGCTGCTGCTGTCCATGAGAGCGCTGATGAAGGCCACCGGCCGAAACGCGCGTACGCTCAGGTTTGAATGACAATTTCTTACCTATTCAATCCCTTCTAGCCCAAGCTCAGCCTAGAGGAGATTAGGACGAGTTACCTGTTGGATCCAGGTCGAAACTATTTCCCTCACTGATTGGTTGATGGGTCATAGCTCAGCAATGTGACCGCTGCTGCTGTCCATGAAGGAAGGTGGGAACTGAGGCAGGTGGGAACTGAGGGAGGTGAAGATCAGGCAGGTGGGAACTGAGAGGTGAAAGGTCAGGCAGATTGATCTGTTTGCTAACTATTATTTTCCACCCTCCCTTTCCCTCTGCAGGCGCACAAGTCTGAGATTACGTCTCTGTTCCACGCGGAGCGGCTGTGGGCCAAGGGCTTCACTGGGACGAATGTTAAACCGATCTTGTTGTCAACTCCTTTTCATCCTCCTCACTGCGCTGCACCCCTCTGTCCGTATGCCAGGCGCACAAGTCTCAGATCACGTCTCTGTTCCACGCGGAGCGACTGTGGGCCAAGGGCTTCACTGGAACGAATGTTGAATTCACATGTTTGCTAACTTCCATTCTCCTTCCCCACTACAGGCGCACAAATCTCAAATCACGTCTCTGTTTCATGCGGAGAGGCTGTGGGCCAAGGGCTTCTCTGGGGCGAATGTTAAAATGGCTGTTTTTGACACGGGCATTCGAGCAGACCACCCCCACTTCCGCAATATCAAGGTGAAAAATAATTCATTAGACCAACCCTATCCTGGATATAAATCAGAGGATAGAGTCATCGGCACCAACCCCAGTTTGGCTATATCAAGGTAAGAAACAAGTCCTCATACCAAACCAATTTTGGAATAATCATAAAAAAAAATAGGAGTCATCAGTGCACGAGGTGACTTTTGTGTCGACTCAAAAGCCAAATGGAGTCATCAGAGCAGATTCACTTCTGCTGTATCAAGGTGAGAGCTAAGCATCAGCACAGCACCCCTTCTCCGAATGTATGTCATTCAGCTCCCCCCATTTAATAATCTAACTCCCCCATTCCCCCCTCCCAGGAGCGCACCAACTGGACCAACGAGGACACACTAAACGACAGCCTGGGCCACGGCACTTTCGTGGCAGGGGTGATTGCCAGCCATGACTCGCACTGCCGGGGGTTCGCCCCAGATGCTGAGATCTACGCCTTTCGGGTCTTCACCAACGCTCAGGTGAGGCCAAGCTTGCAAGAGACATCTCGAGCGGGCAGGGGTGATTGCCAGCCACGACTCGCACTGCCGCGGGTTCGCCCCCGATGCTGAGATCTACGCCTTCCGAGTTTTCACCAACGCTCAGGTGAGCTGGGGTGGTTAAAATGCCGAGATTTCGACATGTTTGCATTGCTATCTCCATGTCAGGAGAGGCATTATCTCGTCCCTTCACTGCCACTATCGTCCCACCCCGTTTCTCAGGTTTCCTACACCTCGTGGTCTTGATGCGTTCTCCTCGCCAACTCACGCACATGAACGAACGTGCCCAACCTCAGCATTGGGGGGGCGAAGCTGTTCCCTGCCTCCATCCCTTCCCCTCCTCCCCCACACCCCCCCCCCTCTTCCAACCCCCTTCACCAGGTCTTGTACACCCCGTGGTTCCTTCCTAGACGCATTCAACTCGCCAACTCACGCACGTGAACGTGCCCACCCAAACACCACCTTTTTTTCGAGCTGTTACCCCCTCTTCAGGTGTCCTACACGTCCTGGTTCCTAGACGCCTTCAACTACGCCATTCTCACGCGCATGAACGTGCTCAACCTCAGCATTGGGGGGCCTGACTACCTCGACCGGCCCTTTGTGGAGAAGGTGGGTTGAGGGGTGGGGGGTGGCAGGGATGGGTGAGGAGGGGTGGTAAGGTTAGGGAGCATCGGGGGGCTGACTACCTCGACCGACCCTCTGCGAAAAAGGTGGGGAGTGGGTGGGTAAAGGTGGGGAGGGGCGGGGAGGTGTGGGGAGTGATGGTGAGAGTGGAGGAGGGCTGGGAAGGAAAGGGAGCAAGAAGGGGGGTAAGGGAGCATGAAAAGGGGGGGAAGGAGCATGGGGGGGGGAGGGGGGGGGGAAAGGGAACATTGGTGGGGTGTAATTTCTCGACAGGCCATTTTTAGAGAAGGTGTGTGTGCGTCATGTCTTCTCCCCATCCGCCGCACCCCTGCCCCTCGTCACCAGGTGTGGGAGGTGACAGGCAACGGCATTTTGATGGTGTCAGCTATCGGCAACGACGGGCCCCTCTACAGCACACTCGACTCAGCATCCCCGCAGACCAGAACGCCTTTCCCCCTTTGCTCCTGCTGGCCTATCAGGGAGTTTTGAGAATTCTCAAAAACTCCCGGCAACGACGGGCCGCTGTACAGCACACTCGACTCAGCATCCCCGGAGACCAGAACGCCATTCCCCCTTTGCTCCTGCTGGCCTATCCTGCTCCTCTCCTCCCTCACTTCCCCCCAGGTGTGGGAGGTGACGGGCAATGGCATTCTGATGGTATCAGCCATCGGCAACGACGGGCCGCTGTACGGCACGCTCGACTCAACAACCCCGCGGACCAGAACACACTTCACCCCTCCCTCCTGCTGCCCTGTCCTGCTCCCCCTGGTTCCACGCGGCCCCCCAGGTGTGGGAGGTGACGGGCAATGGCATTCTGATGGTATCGGCTATCGGCAACGACGAGCCGCTCTATGGCACGCTCAACAACCCTGCGGACCAGAACGATGTGATTGGAGTGGGGGGCATCGACTACACTCTGCACATTGCTTCTTCTCTCATGACTCCTGCACTTTTCTTTTCCCCCCGGCCTACTGTTTGTTCCTCCCTTTGCAGGTGTGGGAGGTGACGGGCAATGGCATTCTCATGGTGTCCGCGATTGGCAACGATGGGCCGCTCTACGGCACTCTCAACAACCCCGCGGACCAGAATGATGTGATTGGAGTGGGGGGCATCGACTACACTCTGCACATCGCGTCGTTTTCTTCGCGTGGGATGACCACATGGGAGCTGCCACACGGGTATGAGGGAGAGATAAAAGGCAGAGTGGGGAGTGAGGTTGAAGGGAGTGTGGTGCTGAGTTCAGTTGGAATGGCCGGCATTGACAACACTCTGCACATTCTTTAGAATTCTCAAAAACCAGTTCAGTTGGAATTGGGGGCATTGACAACGCTCTGCACATGGCGTCGTTTTCCTCCCATGGCATGACCACGTGGGAGCTGCCACACAGGTATGTTGTTGCTGTGAGATATTCATTTCCGGTTAATGCACAGGTATGGGGTGAGCCAGAACGATGTGAGATCGGATCGGGGTGGGCGGCATCGACTACACTCTGCATATTGCGTCGTTTTCTTCCCATGGGATGATGACCTCATGGGAGCTGCCACACGGGTACGTATGTAGTAGCTGTGAGAGACAGAATGACGTGATCGGGGTGGGGGGCATCGACTCCACTCTGCACATTGCGTCGTTCTCCTCTTGTGGCATGACCACATGGGAGCTGCCTCATGGGTAAGAGGAGGGTGTGGGGGGTAAGGAAAATGGGGGTGGGGGGGCGGGTGGAGTGGGGAAGGTGAGGGGGGGTATGTGAGAGGTGGGAATGGGGGTTTAGAAGGAGCCACTCATCCCTGCCACCTGCTCACCGCTCTAAACCCCTCTATCTCGCAAGCACCCCTCCCTGCCCACCTGCCAACAGCCGCCAACTCTCCCACGCTCTGCCGCCCACCCTTTCCACCCCTCTCAGATACGGACGAATGAAGCCGGACATAGTCGCCTACGGGCGGGAGGTGGTCGGCTCGAAGATCAACGGCGGGTGCAAGAGCCTATCAGGGACGTCCGTCGCGAGCCCAGTGGTGGCCGGCGCAGTTTGTCTGCTAGCGAGCGTTGTGCCTGAAGCCGTGCGGTGGGGGCCGGGAGGGGTGCTGAACCCTGCGAGTATGAAGCAGGCCTTGGTCGAAGGAGCAGACAGGCTGAATGGGCCGCATATGTTCGAGCAGGGGTCTGGGCAATTAAATCTGTGAGTGCGAAACAGTTACACAAGACAAGACTAACTGTCTTGTGTGCCTTGTGTGCTATGGAAACGTCAGTCAGACGTGTGTGCTGAACCCAGCGAGTATGAAGCAGTCGTTGGTCGAAGGAGCAGACAGGCTGAATGGGCCGCATATGTTCGAGCAGGGGTCTGGGCAACTCAACCTGTGAGTGTGATGTGAACCATTTCGTCTTGTTTTGTGTGCTTTGGAAACGTCTCGAAAGCCTGGTATGTTGTTGCTGGCAGCGTTCTGAACCGAACTGAACTGAACTGAACTTCAACCAAAGCCTGCGAGCATGAAGCTGGCTTTGGTTGAAGGAGCTGATAGGCTGAACTGAACGGGCCGCATATGTTCGAGCAGAGGGCGGGCCATTCGAGCGAGTTACATGCTCCGAGCATTGGTCCACCCCACCCATCTGCGCTCGACCTCACACAGAGAGCCCCCACACACGGCCCTGGTGCCTCGTGTCCCCTGCCCACCTCTAGGCCAACCCTGGTGTCCCCTGCCCACCTCTAGGCCAACCCTGGTGTCCCCTGCCCACCTCTAGGCCAACCTGTGTTCCTGCTCGTCCTCCTCTCTGCTTTCACCCGCCCTACCCTTTCCCTCACCCCTTTCTCCCCACTCTCCTTCCCCGCGAATCCCATACTTTTCCCTCCCTCTCCCCCCACCCCCCATCCTCCTCCCCAGCCTGCGCTCCCACGCCATTCTAGCGAGCTACACGCCTCGAGCCTCCGTGCACCCCTCTGCCCTCGACCCGACAGACTGCCCCTACGCGTGGCCGTGGTGCCGCCAGCCCCTCTTCTACCCTAAATGCAAATGCTTTCCCCTTCCTCTCTTCTCACCCTTCCCCTCCCCGTCCCCCAGTCTGCGCTCCCATGCCATTCTAGCGAGCTACACCCCCCGGGCATCAGTGCACCCCGCCACCCTCGACCTCACAGACTGCCCCTACGCGTGGCCGTGGCGCCGCCAGCCCTTCTTCTACTCTCAATGCTTTCTCCTTCCTCTCTTCTCGCCCTTCCCCTCCCCCTTCATTCCAGCCTGCGATCCCACGCCATTCTGGCGAGTTACACGCCACGGGCATCCTTCCACCCCTCCACCCTCGACCTCACAGACTGCCCCTACGCGTGGCCGTGGTGCCGCCAGCCGCTCTTCGCCTCTGCCCTCCCCCTCATCATCAACGTCACCGTGCTTAACGGCATGGGCGTCACGGGCTGGCTCGCTGCCCCGCCTCTGTGGGTTGGGTTCTCTCAGAGGTCAATCTTCCCCTCCCCCCTTCCTCTCCCCTCTCACCCCCCCCTGCCCCCCACCCCTCCCCTCCCCCGTCCCCCACCCCACCAGCCTGCGATCCCACGCCATTCTGGCGAGTTACACTCCCCGGGCATCCGTCCACCCTTCCACCCTCGACCTCACAGACTGCCCCTATGCGTGGCCGTGGTGCCGCCAGCCGCTCTTCGCCTCTGCCCTCCCCCTCATCATCAACGTCACTGTCCTGAACGGCATGGGCGTCACCGGCTGGCTCGCTGCCCCGCCTGTGTGGGTTCCCACAGAGGTCAATCTCACCAGCACTGCTGCAGAGAGTAACCTGTCAAGCGCAGCTGCAGCAGTTGCAGCTGAAGCTGCAGGTGCCAATGGCGGCTTTGTGAATGCTGCAGCCTCGAATTCCCCCTCGTCCGCAGCTCCGCCGCCCCACCGGGTGCTGCATGTGCGCTTCTCCTACCCCGCGGTGCTCTGGCCGTGGTCTGGCAACCTGGGGATCTACCTGAGAGTGCATCCGGGTGCAAGGCATCTCAATGGTGAGTGACCAATGGGCTTGGGGCAGTGGAGGTAGGGATGTGTGGAAAAACACTCGCCTCTCAAGGCTTCTCCTACCCCGCGGTGCTCTGTCTGGCCGTGGTCTGGCAGTCTGGGGATCTACCTGAGAGTGCATCCCGGTGCAAGGCACCTCAATGGTGAGCGGGGGAATGGGATGGGAAGGGTGAAGGGACAGGATGAAGCGCAATTCCATGGGGAGAGGAGATGAGGGGAATGGCAGCAGTGAATATATGAGACGTCTCAAAATCACCCTCACTTCATGTATGGGGAACGCGGATGAGGAAAGGTGTGGCAATCCTCTCGCCTTTTCTGTTTTTTTTTTTTTTTTTTTTTCTCAAAAAACAGATTCAGTCCACGCGCCTTATAGCACTTCAACCTTGCATGTTTACTCAATGGTGAGCCTTCCTCCCGCATTCCGCTCCTTCCCCTCTCTTGTCCCACCATACTCCCCCTTCTCCATCAACGTCCTCTCGCCTCCCCATCCTTCTTCCGCCCCTTTCTGTTCCCCCAAGCCAGGCACCGTAGCAGGCACCGTAGCAGGCACCGTAGCAGGCACCGTAGCAGGCACCGTAGCGGGCACTATCCACTTCACTTTCTTTTATCCCCCGCAATGTCCCCCTCGTCACTCACTCCCCTCTCTCCGCTTCCTCCCCTTCACCCCCTCCTTCCCAAGCCAGGCACCATAGCAGGAGCCATCCACTTCACGGTCGTCTGTCCCCCCGGCCCCAACGAATCCTCCCCTCGCACCACCAACTGCTTCCAACGTGCTCCCCTCTCCCCATCCTCCCACCGCTCCACCTCCCCCTCCCCATCCCCCCCCATCACCCAAGCCAGGCACCATAGCAGGAGCCATCCACTTCACGGTCGTCTCTCCCCCCGGCCCCAACGAATCCTCCCCTCGCACCACCAACTGCTTCCAACGTGCTCCCCTCTCCCCATCCTCCCACCGCCCCACCTCCCCCTCCCCATCCCCCCCCATCACCCAAGCCAGGCACCATAGCGGGCGCCATCCACTTCATGGTCGTCTCTCCCCCCGGCCCCAACGAATCCGCCCCCCGCGCCACCAACTGCTCGCTGCCCCTCCACGTTGCCCCTCTGCTTCCCCCACCTCTTCCCCTTCAACAGGCTTCTCCCCCCCCCACCCTGTCCCCCTCTCAACACAGGCACCATAGCGGGCGCCATTCACTTCACGGTCGTCTCTCCCCCCGGCCCCAACGAATCCGCCCCCCGCGCCACCAACTGCTCGCTGCACCTCCGTGTTGCCATCATGCCCTCGTGCTCCCATCTCCCCCCCCCCCCGCTTCCCCAAGCCAGGCACCATAGCGGGCGCCATTCACTTCACGGTCGTCTCTCCCCCCGGCCCCAACGAATCCGCCCCTCGCACCACCAACTGCTCGCTGCCCCTCCGCGTTGCCATCATGCCGACGCCTCCCCGCCACCGCCGTGTGCTGTGGGACCAGTTTCACAACGTGCGGTACCCTCCTGGCTACATCCCCAGGTGCGTACATGTGTGCTTTATCCTCAGGCTGTGGCCGTGCTTCTGTCCCCACTCGCATGCCCATGCCTCCCCGCCACCGCCGCGTCCTGTGGGACCAGCATGCCTCCCCGCCACCGCCGCGTCCTGTGGGACCAGCATGCCTCCCCGCCACCGCCGCGTCCTGTGGGACCAGCATGCCTCCCCGCCACCGCCGCGTCCTGTGGGACCAGCATGCCTCCCCGCCACCGCCGCGTCCTGTGGGACCAGTTCCACAACGTGCGGTACCCTCCTGGCTACATCCCCAGGTATGTGGACTGAGGTCTCTTGCCCGGGTTTGTGCATGTGCATGCAGTCCTATCAGCCGATGCCTCCCCGCCACCACCGCATGCTCTGGGACCAGTTTCACAACGTGCGGTACCCTCCTGGCTACATCCCCAGGTGCGTGCTGGCTGTCTGTGAAGGCAATCTATAGGGTCGCGTGCTCTCGCTCCTCTCACCTCTTCCCTGCTGTTGACATTGCCCTTTCTCTCCGACCCCCTTGCTGGTCTCTGCTTCTTCTCTCCACAGGGACTCGCTGGATGTGAGAAACGACATTCTGGATTGGCATGGGGGTTCACGCAGTGTTGGGGTCTTTGCTCCTCTCACCTCTTCCCTGTTGTTGACATTGCCCTTTCTCTCCAATCCCCTTGCTGGCCTCTGCTTCTTCTCTTCCCATCTCCCTCCAGGGACTCGCTGGATGTGAGAAACGACATTCTGGACTGGCATGGCGACCACCCCCACACCAACTTCCACTGTCTGTCCGCCTCTCCCCCTCTCCCCTTCTCCCCCTCTCCGCCGCTCTGCCTCTCCCTCAACCCCTCGTCATCCCCTCCAGGGACTCTTTGGATGTGAGAAACGACATTCTGGACTGGCACGGAGACCACCCCCACACCAACTTCCACGGGCTGTTTGCCGCTCTGAGGGAGTGGGGGTTCACGCTCGAGGTGCTGGGGTCTCCCTTTCCACTCCCCTCTTCCCACCCTTTCCCACCTCTCCTTTCATGGGGTGTACTACTCCTCTTCACACCACTCCTACATCTCTGCCCACTCCCCCACCACCTCCCACAGGGACTCCCTCGACGTGCGGAACGACATCCTCGACTGGCACGGCGACCACCCCCACACCAACTTCCACGGGCTGTTTGCCGCTCTGAGAGAGTGGGGGTTCACGCTCGAGGTGCTGGGGTCGCCCCTGACGTGCTTCGATGCGCGGGAGTATGGCGCGGTGCTGATGGTGGATATGGAGGAGGAGTACCACGCAGAGGAGGTGAGAGGAGAGGTGACTTTTGAGTCGACTCAAAATTCACTATGGCGCGGTGCTGATGGTGGACATGGGGGAGTACCATGGCGGGGAGGTGAGCGTAGGATTTATACATGTTTGGACGTGTGAAGAAAGGCAGACAGACAAACATGGTCCTTTCCCTTGGAGGGAGTATGGTGCGGTGCTGATGGTGGAATACCATGCAGAGGAGGTGAGAGGAAGGAGATCTAGACACACTTGTCAAAGCGACCTGAGAGAGGTGGGCCTCATAGTGGTGGGCCTCATAGTGGTGGGCCTCATAGTGGTGGGCCTCATAGTGGTGGGCCTCATAGTGGTGGGGGACTGGTGCTTCATGGTACCACGTGATGTGCCCACCATGAAGCACATGCGCTTCCTTCAAGCTCTTGTTACTCCCCCTCTCTTCCCCACCTCTCCCCCTTAATGTGTCTCCCAGATAGCCAAGTTGCACCATGACGTCACAGCACTCGGCCTTGGCTTGATTGTGGTGGGCGACTGGTACCACGTGCCCACCATGAAGCACATGCGCTTCTTTGACGACAACACTCGCTCCTGGTGGACGCCGGCCACTGGTGAGAGATCATCCTGCTTCCCATCAGTACTGAGATGAGAGCCCATGCGGCCATCCCTGGCGAGGAGTGTTACCATCAATGGGTGTACCCCTGACTTTTGAGACGACTCAAAAGTGAGGAGTGTTACCATCAATGCGTGTACCCCTGACTTTTGAGACGACTCAAAAGTGAGGAGTGTTACCATCAATGGGTGTACCCCTGACTTTTGAGACGACTCAAAAGTGAGGAGTGTTACCATCAATGGGTGTACCCCTGACTTTTGAGACGACTCAAAAGTGAGGAGTGTTACCATCAATGGGTGTACCCCTGACTTTTGAGACGACTCAAACGTGAGGAGTGTTACCATCAATGGGTGTACCCCTGACTTTTGAGACGACTCAAAAGTGAGGAGTGTTACCATCAATCAATGGGTGTACCCCTGACTTTTGAGACGACTCAAAAGTGAGGAGTGTTACCATCAATCAATGGGTGTACCCCTGCACGTACTATCAGCCCATCCCCACCCACCATGAAGCGCATGCGGTTCTTTGATGACAGAACTCGCTCCTGGTGGACGCCGGCCACTGGTGAGTGAGAGCAGTGCAAGGGGCAAGGACGCAGCAGCACAGCACAGCAGATGTGCGGCGCGGGTGCAGCAGGTGCGTGGGGGCGTGGCCGCGTGGGTATGCTGTTTGGATTGGTATCACATGCCCACTATGAAGCACATGCCCACTATGAAGCACATGCCATTCTCTTCTGCCTTCTCCCCCCATCCTCCCAGGGGGTGCCAACGTGCCAGCTCTCAACGACCGTCTCTCTCTCCTTCTCTCAAGAACCTTCACTTCCCTTTCCTCTCCATTCCTTCAGGTGGTGCCAACGTGCCAGCTCTCAACGACCTCCTTGCTCCCTTCAGCATCGCGTTCGGCGATGCCATTCTCTCCGGCACCTTTTCCATCGCCGGCCATCGCGCTTACTTTGCCTCGGGCACCGATATTCGCAGGTTTCCCAAAGGGGGTTACGTACACCGGTTCCTTTTCAGGGATGGATCCTCAGGAGGGGGTAATGGTGGGGGAGAGGGCGGGGAAGCGGGCGGAGGGGGAGGGGGAGAGGGGGGAGGAGGGGAAGAGGGGGGAGTGGCAGGAGGGGGGAGTGGCGGGTCGATTGTTTCGACTAGAGGAGGGAGGATGAAGAGTCAAGTTGAGGCTTCGGTGCTGGGATTGGTGGAGAGGGGGAAGGGGAAAGTGGCGGTGTTTGGTGATTCTAATTGCTTGGACAGCAGTCATTTGGTAAGCGACTGCTTCTGGCTGCTAAGAAAGATGCTTAGCTTTGCTACCGAGGGTAAAAAAGACCCCACGTTGTTCCACCATAGGAATGAGCTGCTGGTCGCGATGGGGGGCGGTGGCAGGGAGGAGGGGCACAAGAATCGGTCAGATTTGAGCCGGGGTTTCTCAGGGGCGGATTCAAAATTGGGTGGTTCGGAAGTTTTTGTGCTGCCCGAGAGGCGGACGGATGTGAATTTCACCGACCTGTCATTGGTTCTTGGAAAGCCGCTGGTGTGCGGGCAGGATTCGAAAGTTTTACGGGTTGGAAAGAAGCAGCGGAAACCAGGTGGGGGAGGGAGAGAAGTGCTGAGGGGGGAGGGAGGGAGAAGGGTACGAGGGGGGTTGGTGGGAGGACGGAGAGGAGGAGGAGGAAGAAGAATCATAGAGGAGAGTAGGCCTGAGAGTGTGGGCGGTGGGGGTGGGGCTGAGACTTCTGGGAATAAGGGTGTGGCTGATTCTCCTAAGCATAGGGCTGTGGCTGCTGATTTGGGGGATGTGGTTAATGTGAGGGAGGAGGAGGATAAGGGAGAGGAGGGGGGTCGTGGTTATTCTCTTGAGAATGTAACACGGCAGGGAGAGAATTTGAAGGATGGGGAAGAGGGTTCGGGGGAAGTGAGGGCACGCGAGGAGGGAGGGAGGGAAGAGGGGGAAAGTGAAGAGGGGTCGGGGAGCGATGGGAAAGGGAAATTGGGGGTGGAGGAAGATGGGAAATGGGGAGGGGGGGCGGGAGGAGAGCTGGGGGGTACAGAAGCAGTAGAGCTTGGAGTATGGGAGACAGAGAAGCAGCAGGAGCAGCAGGAACAGCAGGAGCAGCAGGAACAGCAGCAGGAGCAGCAGGAGCAGCAGGAGAAGAAGGAGCAGCAGGAGAAGAAGGAGCAGCAGGAACTTGGAATGGGGAGCGAGATAGAACGAGGATCTGATGGTGCGAAGGGATTGAATGCGGTGAAACGAGGTGATGACAGCGCGAGGGAGTCTGATGATACTGCTGCTAACGGTGCTGCAGATGCTGGTGCTGTTGCTGTTTCTTCTGGTACTGGTAGTGGTGGTGGTGCTGCTGCTGCTGCTGCTGCTGCTGCTGCTGCTGCTGCTGCTGCTGCTGCTGCTGCTGCTGCTGCTGCTGCTGCTGCTGATGCTGATGCTGATGCTGCTTCTGGTGCTGGTTCTGCTGATGCTGCTGTGAGAGTAGACGATGGCATAACGGAGAGAGTGGGGGGTAGTGGCAGCAGCGATGGTGGTGCTGCTGTGAGTGCAGATGACCTGTTGCTAGCAGGTGGGCTTGGAGAGGCAGGGGGGAAGCAGACGGCTGGGAAGAGCATTTGGAGGCACTGGAACGAGCGAGAAGAGGAGGTGAGATCTGGGGGGATGGGGGGTGAGGTAGGGTGGGATGTGGGGAGAATGAGGGGAAGGAGAACGGCAGGGCAGTCGGCTGGGAAGAGCATTTGGAGGCACTGGAACGAGGGCGAAGAGGAGGTGAGGGTTGTGTTCAATGGGGGAGATTGAGAGGGGATGGGGGAAATAACTTGGGGATATGGAGGGATAGTATAAGAGGAAGAGGATGCAGTAAGCTGGTAGGAGGATGCGGAGTGGAAGGATGGAGGGGAGTGTGTTTAATGCACTCACATGTAGCCTTACATCTAGTCTTTCACACATGCACATGCACATGCATCAGCCCATCTGGATCTGCATCGATGCTAATCCATTGTTCGTCTGAATGTTTCCTCGTACTCGTTCGTCTGAATGTTTCCTCGTACTCGTTCAATTCCTTCTCTCCCGAAACCCTTTGATTCCTTCGTCCACATTCGTGCCTAAAGGCTCCTTCACCTTTTGCTGCCGCCCTTTCCCTCTCCCTCCCCCCCACCCCACCCCAACCCCCCACTCTTCTTCCCCTTCCACTCCCTTTCTCCAACCTGGATACATTGAATCTGGATCAACTCTTGCTGCGCTTGCCACCTGTCAAAATTGTGCTTCACTCCTTGGACCTTTGACGCGCCTCAAAAATCACCTCGACTTACTCAGCTTGATGCTTTCTTCCCAATCATCGTTGCTGCCTCGGGTAATCTCTCTCTCTCTCTTCCTCCATTCATCTCCTTACGACGCTCACCTTTCACATGGCACATCTCCGAATCCCTTCCACCAGTCCCTATACTTGAAACCCGCACTGTATCTCATAATCAGACCCATATTCAACACCATTCATACATACCGCTTAGCCACCTGCCCGGCTCTATACACAAGTTCGTCCTTCGTGCCATAAATTATACTCAATTGCATTTCAAGCATCCAGTCCATATTTTAACCTCATACAGTCAACCCTAATCTTCTGCATCTTGCACGCTAACCCTTGCGGTGTGTACACCCCAAACAACTTCAATTCACATACTACGCCTTTTCTGATTGAAATTCACGTTCTCTGGAATTCGTTGTCTCATGATAAAACCTTTTCCTGATTATTACTTTCTGTAACACCTGAGACGCCATTATTGGCCTCGTACACCCGAACTTGTCTGCATAGTGCATGCTGCAATATCTTTCTGAATGCTATCTGAGCCCGTTAACATGTTTCCTTTATTGTCTTCTGCAGGTTTCATATTTCTGTGCGGTCTTTGGAGATTTCGACAAAGAAGAAACAGAAAGCCAAGGGCAAGAAGACTATAATGCTTAAATTTGGGGAGGTATAGATCACCGATGGCAAGCTGCACTACTGGCAGTGTACTGGATGGGAGATGTAAGGTATATATAGTCACCAGAAAAGCCAATTTTCCGTTTTGGGCGGTAGGACAAAGAGTCAACACCATGTTTTTTATACACTGCTGAAATTCGGTCTGAATGTGATGTGGTACTATCTTATAAGAGATTTGTTGAAGTTAAATCAATTGGAAATGCACACAAAAGAATTGTAGAACAATATGTTTATACTATATAGAACCCACTTTTCTAAATATCCCCTAGTGCCAATTTGACTTGATGACGACCTCGATATGCAGGGTCACGCTAAAAGTTGCCCTGCCCAAAAAGGGAAACTGTAGATGTCGTTTTCACTGGACTGGACGGAGGGAATACAATTGCAGTGATATGCATGCATACATCTGGGTGGTGTCGTTTCCCTTCCGTCACGCAGGCGAAAAAACAATTCAAATGTGTATACTGCGCGTGGCGCTACAGAGCATTTGTCGGCGAAGTCACCTGCACAGTTCATCACCTCGGCTGCTCTGCAGCAGGGATGCTTTGTTTGATTTGAAGGCTATGTCCAGGACGCCTTTGACTCAATATTGAGTCTCACGTGTGTTTTCTGACGTGTCAATCGCTCCACCTCATTGTCGAACGTCAACTCTTAGAATAGATGCTAATCGTGACCACAGGGATGTATGCAATGCTACCCTTTAATTGAAACGGGTGGCTGGACCCCCAGAGCTGACGAGGGAATCTCTAGGACATACGCGGTACACATTCGGAGTTATCTCTGCTTCACTGTCACATCTAATTTGGATTACACAACAGTTCCAGAAATCAATGTACAGTGTATATCGTTATGCATTGTTGGGCTGGGCTCCCCCCCGCAGTGGACGTTCTGGGCTTTGCCGTGTGAAGTGACCCATCAGACCTAGTAACCGCATCCCATCCTCCCAAATCCATTCCTAAACCCGTGTGAAATACCTCTCCTCCACCCCAACCCTACCAGTCACAACCCCTGTCGCCTCAACCACCTATCATCCCGTTTGAACTCTGTTCACCATAGCATATTTTTTTCTGTTCAGCGCACGCGAATAATATCCCTGTACAGTATTCCCCGGTGTCAGCTTGAATCGTCTTTCTGAACAGGGATAACCCTTGGTAAGCCCGTGGGAAAACCCGGGCAGCGTATGAGTTTAGCGAAAAGACCCATTACAGTTTTGAATGCAGGAAGCTGCTAGCTTTCGATGTTTCCACATCATGCACTGTGGACAATGTGGCTTGGTCCACACAGTGCACAACACAGTTTTCCTCCTCTTACTGTATTTTCGTCCTTGTCGTGTTGTCTGACCAACGACCAACCACATTCGGCCGATTGTTTTCTCAATAGCAACCCTCTTGCGCCATCTCGCCTCGCCCCCACCAAGACCGCCCCGCGTCGATGGGTGCCTGCGGATGGACCAACCAACACCAACCAGCAGCCTCCTCGGCTTGAGGTGGAGCGAAAGACCCCCCCTTCAAAACCAGCCAGCCCGCCACGTCACCTCCCGCGCGTTCATCTTGCCTTCGTCCAGCGCCAAGACACCACACCACCTTCAGCCGAATGGGCCTGATCCCAAAATATATCTAGTTCAATCCATATCCAGTTAGGTCAGTTTTTCTCTCGTGTCCCTAACCGTACTTAATTATCAACTCCTTCCAGCACCGTACTCTCATTTTTTTTTTGTTAGTGCTTAGCACGTAGTGTCCAGATGGTTAATCCGCGCTCTCCGCGCGTTTTCCGTAGCGCGTCGACCCCCAGCTCGTCGAGTTCACCTTCCGATGGGCCGTCGTCTTCCTTTTATGATCGGAGCGTTTCCATTGGCAGCGGCGAGTTCGCGTTTTCGCAAAGCCCAGCGGGGCAGCTCGAGGATCCAGGCACGCCAAGGCTCTTTCCCCGTGGCTTGTCAGACCCTGCCGCAGAACGAAACCATGCGCTAGGGACCTCCGATTTTGGTGACTTTCGGTTCGCGGATTTCAACGACGAGCAGTCGAGAGTCGTTCGACGCGCCTCCGGAGAATCCGCCGTCGCCAACAGTGCGAGGAACGGGGTGGAAGGTGCTGATATGGCTCGAAGTGATACGGCTCCGCTGGCGCTGCGGAAACCAGCAGAGTGGGCGGAATGGCACTGCTGGCGGCATGGACGACAAACGAACGATATTCCGAAGCCTTCTGTCGAAGGTAAGATTTTGAACTTAGTATTGGAAGCTCGTCGGAGTGGCATTTCATTCTTGATTGTTATGATATGTCATGGTTGTGCTCTAAGCGTTCAGCTTTCCTCTTGCGCAGAAATTCGCGAGGCTTTGAGCGCAACGCACATCGAGGAATCGCGCAAGTGCATTCAGAAATCGGCTGCGGACGCGTGGGCGGCGCAGGAGGAGTTTAAGCGCGGCGTCGAGAGGGCCATGGCAAGACATGAAGCGGCCGCGAATTTTATGGGTGGCACTTTTCTGAGCGGCAGTAATAGCATGATTGGACGTTTCCTGGAGCACATGAAGGGAAAGAATTCCCACAAGGGTATCAAGGCTTGATAGGCTAGGTAGTTTCATTACATTCGATTTTATATGTAAATAAGGCATTATTCATTTTAGCATGGGTTGGTACAAACTGTTTTGGAGCAATGTTTTTGTTGTGCTGTAGTATTATTATTAAAGCGACGGTGCACATTTGCCACCCAAAACCCAGAACCCTGGCGAACTGTTACTGCGGATGGAAAGTGTCCGCACGAAATCCTGGTTTTCGCCAGCCAGCACTTTCGCGCTGGCAAGCCTGGTTCAAAAAAAAAAACTTCTGAACCCAACACTGCCAAAAGTTGCCCGTCGCTTTAAGCGGGACATTCATTATACCTCAAAATATGTTGCTGGCTGCGAACCGACCTTCAGCCCCTCAACGCAACTAGCCTGCTTGGCGCCTTGCTGGCACCGAAGTGAGCCGGGTGCGCACAGCACGAAAACTGGCTGTCGTTCTGCTTGTTGAGTGTACACTGTACCTAGGGCTTGGAACTGGTCTGGACGAACCGCCGCTGTGGCCGTGTTTTTTTTTTTTTTTTTTTTTTTTTTTTTTTTGGTTGTAACTATATTATCAAAACATAGATACATCCGCAGTCGTAACTGTATTCTTGGAGGGCCTAGGCTGCGCTAACCGGAGCGTCGCACATCCCCCCTAAGGTAAACTACGGTGGCTGGTGAAAGGTGCGTGGGTTGCGCCAGATGGATAGAAAATGGGTCGTCCAGCATGTTGGCCCTTCCTCGTCGCAGATTCCCCGCAAAAGCTTCCTCTCGTCTGCCGCCATATGGCGCCACCTGTCCCCCCTCCAAACACTGCCCTCTTCACCTGCCACCACCACCTTTCCGCGTGATGCCACCACCACTCTCGCATGCGTCATGAAATCCAGCACCGCACCGCGCCCAACCTTCTTTCTTTCGAAAGGGGCCGCACGCCAAACCGCATTACATCGTGCCAGCCAAACCTGCCGGAGCACCGCAGCTGTCAGCGTCATTTCAGGGAAGCCAGACACCGTGCCCCCTTCCTCGAACAGCAGGTCGTCCAGTGAGCTCACGGGCCTATCCGGATTCAGCATCTGTAAAGACCTCTTGAGCGCGCCGATGATCGGCTGTATGACTGGACAGTTGTAGAGGCAATGAGCTAGGGTTTCCTCCCCCCCACAGTGTGCGCAGCTGATTCCGTTCTGGAAGAAATCCAGCCTTCCCCCCACCTGCAAGTTCATGCTGTGCACCCTGAGGAGCACATCCCTCGCCTTGAGGGAGACACAGATCGAGTCACGGGTTTCGATAGCCCGTTTCCAGTCGATCTTCTTGCCCCACACATCCTCCCATTCTGCCTGCCTCCAGGAGCGTCCCGTTGATTTAGTGAGCCCAGCCCGTATCCTGCGTAACGGCGCCAGCTCCTCCCCCACGAAAAGCTCGGGCTTGACTAGAAGCTTTGTTTTTGGGGCGCCCACCGGCCCCACCATCCTGCTCCCCTGTATCACCATCGGCTGAAGTCTGCACGCCTCGAAGCAATTCTCCCTCGCCCTCGCTTGTGACTCCAACCTTCCATCCTCGTTGAGCGACATGGCGGAGGCGACAACTTTTGATGCTACAACTCCCTTCACCGCCCATGGGACCTTGGTTGGTTGACCCTGAAGGATGTACCTCACTACTCCTGATGCTGCCACCACCTCTTCTGCCGACACCGGCTCCTCTACCATCTTTTTCCACTCCGGAGGCATAGCCCCGTAGGCTTTCCGTGCCATAACCGCCGCCTCTTTGCTCCCAAGTTCTATCATCAGAAACACCTCCTCTTTCAAACACCTCCGTCCTCCTGCGTCATTCGTGAGCAGGTCTCTTACGCGCGTAGTGAGAAGGGCCGCCGTGCCTAGCTGATGCCCAAAAGGACTGTCCCCCCTGTGCATGATGTTTTTGTTGAAACAGATAAACTCCTCCTCCACCTCCCATCTATTCGCAGGTGCCGGCGACGACGATAGCGGCGATTTCCAGAAAACTTTCACCGCCGCCTTCCATCTCTCACTCCCTTCCTGCCAGTGCTTCCCCGCAGATGGGTGTGCGAACAGAGTAGCCCAGCCTTGCGGGAAACCCGCCGCCTTCTCCGCCAGCCACCGGCGCGTGCCCTCCGGCTCGCCGGAGGATAAAGATTTTCTCCTCCACCGCTTCCCCCGCCGAGACAAACGCATGGCAGAGTTTCCTGATTTTCTCCCAAAAATCCTCCGGTGGTGAGTACACCTGCGCCTGAAACATTAGAACCGGCAGGACGTAGCAACTGATGACCGCTACCCTTGCCGTCGTCGTGAGGTACTGCGCTTCCCATTTTCTTAACTCTTCTTTTATCCTTTCGTATGCCTTCCTCCAGGATGGATCAGCAACACCGCTGGGCGTGATCCACACCCCCAGGAGCCGTTCCGGCTCTTCCCGCTCAGACCATTTGTATGGGATGCCTGCCGGCACCGGCACACCTCTGTTGCGGCCAAGCGGCACTACCCCCGACTTGTCACAGTTCACCTTCAGCCCCGACTGCTTGCCAAAAATTTCCAAAACCTCCACCGCCTTCCGCAGCTGCTCTTCTCCGCTTAGAAGGAAGGACGTGTCGTCGGCATAGCCCACATACGAGAGTGGCGCATGCCCGGGTGGCCCGATTCCCAATTCCTTACGCTGCGTAGCTCTGCAGAGCGGCTCCAGCGCGCAGAGAAAGAGGTAAGGTGCCAGAGGACACCCCTGCCTAACCCCTCTATTCATTTCCACCCTTTCGCTCAGCCACCCATTAATGATAATCTTGGTTCCTGCCTCTGCATGCAGGCCCATGGTCCAACTGATGAACTTCTCCGGTACCCCCAGCTCTTTCATTACCCTGAAGAGGAAAGGCCGCGAGACCGTATCGTAGGCCTTCTGGAAGTCGACCAACAGCAGCAGCCAATCTTCGTTACCGCTGTTCGCAGCTTCCACCGCATCTGCGACCACCGAAACTGCGTCCGCCAGACTTTTCCCCGGTAAGAAACCGTGCTGTTCCTTTGACAGCACCTTGCCCAGCACCCTTTTAAGTCGTGAGGCCATAACCTTCGTGATCAATTTGTACATGACTGACAGCAGCGTGATGGGACGGTAGTTCCCCAGTTGGTCCGTCGCCCCCTTCTTGTGCAGCAGCACCGTAACGGAGGTTGAGAGGCTCTCCGGCATCTCCCCCGTCCTTGCAAAGTTATTGACAAAACCCATCACATGCTCCTTCAGCATATCCCAGTGCAGGATGAAGTATTCCGCCGGCAGCCCGTCCTGCCCAGGGGACTTTCCCTTTGGGAGACTCTCCAGCGCTTCCTTGACCTCCGCCTCTAGCCAGTCCGCGCCAAGGAGGGCCGCTTCCGCATCTGAGAACGCCGCTCCCTCCGCGAAAACACCCCAGTCAACCTCCTCCTCCGGCAACACGTTCCTGAACGCGGATTTGAAGTGGTCCGCCGCCGCCTTCAAAACCTCTTTCGTCCCCTGATATGCCGTTCCCCGATGCGACACCTCCCGTATGACAGTCCTCTTTTTCCGCAGTTTTATCTTCGCCGACAGGTAAGGAGATGGGACCTCCCCATTGAGCTCCACCCTGATGCCAGCCAGAACCTGCATCCTGTCCTTGCAACTCCGCAAGTAAGCGTCAAAGTGAGCCTCCTTGCACAACAGCTTATTCTGCGCCCTTCTGTCGCCAGAGTGCCGCATCACCTTGTGCCGGAGAAACTCCACCACACGTTCAAGGTGAGAGACCGTCGCCCTCACCCTCCTCCTCTCTTCCCTCGAGTACTCCTTCAGTCCCACGCTGAGCAGTTTCAGCTTCTTGCCCAGGTCCACCCCCTCTTCCCTTTCAAGTTTCTTCAGTATGTTGGCTGTCACTATACTGACTCCTCTCCTTTGTGCCTGCTTCGCCTGCATCCTCCACAGTCCAGGGCCCTGGTCCACTGGTGCAGCCGCCGCCAGCGCAAACTTAACTGCAAACCAGTGATCCGACAATCCTTTCGGTATCTTGGTGTGCTTCGCCTCCGCCAACAGCCCTATCAACGAGAAGGACACCAGGCCTCGGTCAATGCGCGTGCTCGCCCCTGTTGCCCTATCCCGGAAAGTGTACTCCAGCTTGGATGGGTGCAGAACGCGGAACACATCTCTGAGGTCCGCCGTCCGCCAAAAACTCAGGAGCCTCTGATTTTCTTTCCCCGACCCTGACTACGACGTCCGATCCAAGTGAGGGTCTTCCACTAGGTTTAAATCTCCCATCACCGCCAGGTGCGCAGATGCCGGCTGCGCCTGGACGAACTGCGGGAGGCAGCTCCGCAAGAAAGTTCCCCTGGTGCATGCCTGCGCGGGAAGGTACATCGCCACAAGCCTGAAGGTGACCTGGGCGCACTCCACCGTGACACCCACCAACCTTCCTGAGGGATGCGTAACAACATCTGTAAGCTTGACCTCATCATTGAAGGATAGCACTGCCACGCCCCCTGCCCTTTCGCTGTTTCCCACCACCGCTGTCGATGACGGCTTTAATTGAGTCCAAAAATTGTGATCTTCACTTATCCTTGTGTCTGTAAGTACCACCACGTCAGCAATCGTTTTAAACCAATGAGCATGCTCCGTTCTTTTGCCGTTGCTTCCGAGGCCGTTGACATTGACCTCGCACAGGGTGAGATTGCGGGTGTTGTTATCCATTAAAACATAGATACAGAGCCCCTTCGCATCCACGGGCTTGATACAGAGACACCACTCCTACACATAGTTGCTCGTGCCAGCCAGGTAACACATCACCCTCCACCTGCACCCATGGAGTTTGCGCTTGCCACCCACAGTTTCTCTCACCGCCCCAAAACCGTCCGGCTGATCCACACCTCTCTACTTCTGCAGGCCGAACTCCTTGCGAAGCGGGATGAGGTTCATCTTCCCCTTGCTCTTCCTGCTGGCTGACCCCCCCTGCAGAAGCGCAGTGCAGTGCTGAACCGACTTCACATGCTCCACAGCTTGGGTGAAACTGGAACCCTGAGCCCTCCCACAGGCCTCCTGGACGCATAACCAATCCTCCCGACTCCCGCCAGTGGAAATCAGCGCTAAAGCCGGATCGCGCAAAACTTTCTTCACTCGAGCATCGAGCGGTAAGGATGCGGCTGCCCACGCAAGAAGCGATGCAGCTGTCAGCGAACCCGCACGGGACCCCGACAGCCTGAAAAACAAGGTTAGCTCCCAACTGTTTACCATTTATCGCATGCAGGCGCTGAAGCGTCAGATTCCATTTGCCTATATTCTCCTGACGCTCCGTAACGAAATCATCATGAAATTTCGTCATGTGCATGCCGTTGCAAAAATCACAGGAAAGGGAAGGGTAGTGAACCAGAAGCTGCTTATGGTGCACCGAATCAATCAGGAGATGCCACCAGCGATACTTATCCCCCGGATGGCCCTTGACCAACCCTTTAATCTTGTCCGTATCTGCGCCGGTGACGGGATCCACCACCCGATGAAAGGCAGATCCACTGAGAAACGGGGTCCGCCCGCGCTTCTCCAGCACCGTCTTAACCAGGTACTCGTACACCATCTCCGGCGTGATAGCTGCCGGCACACTCTTCAGGAGGACCTCAATCGAGTCCGGGTGTGTCGCACGCTCAAGGATGTACACCGGGTTCTCCGGGTGCTGCCAATCAAGGTAGATACCTCCGCCGTTCAGCATCTTATGCTCGATTCGGCGACACCACGCATAGTTGGCGTCAGATGCTTGCTGGAAGGTAACCTGCAGCCTTCCGTAACGCTTCTTCGACAGCCAGGCAGGTAAGAGCACCTGACACTTCGTCGTTGTCAGAACGTGCGCCGACATATATTTCCTCCACAGCGCCAAGAGACCTTTGACCGTGTCAATGGTCCGCTCCACCTCCTCTTCGTATTTGATCGGGATCAAAAGCGTGATCGAGAAGCCGGCGCGAGCAGCGATCTCCCCAGCCTTCACCGGATCAAAACGCTCCTCCGGATCATCGCTGAGATAACCGTCGTCCTCTTCCTCATCCTCGTCCACCTCTTCCGCAGGTACGCTTGAGGCATCCGTCGGCGGCATCACCTCATCTGCGTTCTCGTTTTCTTTCTCCTCCTCAGCCCTGTCAACCCCTTCCGCAGACAGTTTCTCCGGGGACGGGAACTTCAACGCGTTCAGTTTCTTCACCAGTGAGATGCGCGTTTCATCCGCGAAAGGCCCACCCACTTCCTTCAGCAGCGGTTTCGGCGTCGCCGGCTCCGAATGGTGACCTTTAGCCGCAGACTCACGAGCATCGTTGACCGTGACCTTAGTCACAGGCGGAGCATCCTTCCTCGGCTGGCGCGGCATGGTGCGATGATGAGAGCAACTGAAACAGAGATCAGAACTTCGTGACGAAAACGGGCCTGAAGAGCCTGACTGGTTAGCTCTGAGCACCGAGGACTTATAGATCCGACGCTTCTGCCTTGATTTCTTCCTGGGGTGATGATGCATATGGCGCATGGCCTTGGACTTTGTCTGTGCCTTGGTAGTTGTGAAGCGCGACACCACCTTAGCTTGACCCTTGATAGTATGATAAAACGGAACTGCCATCCCAGGGACCACCTGTGCTTCAAACCTAGGTGTTGCCAACGGTGAAAACGGATTATCTGACAATGAACTAAAAGATACAATGCTCATAAAAGTATCTTCGTGTTCCTCTTGTCATGTAGATTCCGAAACCGTCGTTAAGCAAAGCAGCAGGTAAGAAATTGCTAGACATTGGGTCCATCAAAGGAGCCTGACAGAATCCATGGCGGAGCCAGCTCATTCAGGCTAAATTTACGATCTGCCGTGGCCGTGGCCGTGTGCTTCGTCAGCGAAAACCAAACAGCGGAGAATTGTACAGCACTGCGCAAGCGCAACAGGTCCGCTCCGCTAACCTGTCTCTGGCGGACATTGAAAGCCCCTTGTCATTTTTCCTTGACTGACAGTTATTTCCACGAATACAGTCACATCGGGACGAAAACCTATCAAAAGCTACAGTTAAGTTATAGTATTGTCTGCTGCGATTTAGGTAACCATTAACTCTGAGCTTAAGTGTAGATAATATCTTCAACTAGGACTCCATGTGTAATAAAAACAAGACATACACAATAGTTCAATGCAGAGCAGACCTTATGCTGAGCGATGCTGAAAATGGGTCTCCACCAATTGAAGGGAACATTTAAGCAACATTTTTTATCGTCTCCCAGCAATGAGAGTCGTTCAATTCCTCCCCGAAGCACCAGACCTGACTCCAAACAAAAATGCAGCGCATGTCGGAAACACAAGACACACCAGTGCATGATGACACCCTTGTGTGCGCCACACGTATGTAGCGGAAAACTACACAACGCATGTACATACACGATAACATAAATGTAAGGCCCGTATCTGTCCGCACGAGTATTTTTTCCTCGGGCAGTCATCAGAAACCTAAAACCACAGACCCAAAGCCCAACCTCCATTACCTCCTCTCCTCTTCCCCATGTCCTTATTTCCACTTTCCCAATGTATGAAAAAGAAAGAGAAAGGAGGAAAAAAAGCATGTTAAGAGGCATGAACGGGCTGGTGTCTGTGGAATTGCTGTAGGAGGGTTGTATCGGAGCCAGCAGCAAATTCTCCTGCTGCAGCCCTTCTTTTCCCTCCCATGCCATGGATTGATATGCTTTTGGCCAACTGTTAAGCCAACAGCAATAACTTCGGCAGCAAGCATCCCTTTCCCTCCATGTGCTTCTTGAAATGCCTCAGAAGGCCAACGATGATCACCACTGATAAAGCCTCTCTTCCCTTCCATGTGTAACAGTGTAAGGCTCACCTTTCCATCCTGTTACTCTCACCCCCCTCCTCCCAAATCAGCCGCCCCACACCCACTCACCATGAACTGCATGCATAGAAACTTTACTTCTGCTTCCTCCTCTCCTCGTCCTCCTCCGATCCTCCTCTCCTCCTCTCCTCCTCCTCCTCGTTCTCGCTCTTTCCCTCCTTGCTCCTCACCGCCTCATTACCCCCTAACCTTCTCTTCCTCATCTTCCCCCCTGTCTTCTCCTTCTGTCCACTTGCCTTCTCCTTCTCTCCACTTGCCTTCTCCTTCTCTCCACTTGCCTTCTCCTTCTGTCCACTTGCCTTCTCCTTCTCTCCACTTGCCTTCTCCTTCTCTCCACTTGCCTTCTCCTCTCCACTTGCCTTCTCCTCTCCACTCGCCTTCTTCTCTCCACTTGCCTTCTTCTCTCCACTTGCCTTCTTCTCTCCACTTGCCTTCTCCTCTCCACTTGCCTTCTCCTTCTCTCCACTTGCCTTCTTCTCTCCACTTGCCTTCTTCTCTCCACTTGCCTTCTTCTCTCCCCTCGCCTCTTCCATCTCTCCCCAACACTCCACTCTGCCACACTCCTCCATATTTGCTCATTCCTCCGCCATTTTCACTCATCCCACCCTTCTCACTTCTCCCTTTCCTCCACTCCTCCCCTCACCACCTCCTCTCCCCCAATCTTCACCTTCACAGGGTGCCTCATAGCATGCTCCTGCCACTGCAACCACTCCTCCGCGCCGCTAACAGCGCACAGAACACAAGGAGTGGCTTTCCACCTAGCACGTCTTACACAACACCCATCCAACCTCCCCTTCACTTCTCCTCCTCCTCTCCTCCCCTCACCACCTCCTCTCCCCCAATCTTCACCTTCACAGGGTGCCTCATGGCATGCTCCTGCCACTGCAACCACTCCTCCGCGCCGCTAACAGCGCACAGAACACAAGGAGTGGCTTTCCACCTAGCACGTCTTACACAACACCCATCCAACCTCCCCTTCACTTCTCCTCCTCTCTCCTCCCCTCACCACCTCCTCTCCCCCAATCTTCACCTTCACAGGGTGCCTCATGGCATGCTCCTGTCACTGCAACCACTCCTCCGCGCCGCTAACAGCGCACAGAACACAAGGAGTCGCTTTCCACCCATAGCAAGTCTTGCACAGCGCCCATCCAACCTTTCCCTTCACTCCCCCCAGCCCAGGAGCCGTAGCATACGCGCCTTTCCCGTCGCACGCACCGCACTGCACCCATCCCGACCCGTCCCCGCACAGCCCGCACCACCCGCCGCCGGACCTGCCGCTTTGGTCCGGAGCGAAGTCAGCAGCGCCGAAGCTGAGGCTTTGGTTCGGGGCGGAGTCGTTCCCGAGCCTGCTGCCTTGGTTCGGGACGGGGTCAGGGTCGGTGAGGAGCCCGCGGGAGGGTTTGGGGGAGCGATCCGCGGAGGAAGCGGCGGAAAACACGGTGTGCCAGGAGCGCTCGGGGGGTTCCTCTTTCGCACAATCCTCCGCTGAACTTCCCTCCTTCCGCGAGGCTTCCGCTCCGGAAGGTTGCGCCTCATCTCCCTCCTCCGCGCCGCCACTTCCCGCAACACCCTCCTCCGCGGCCCTTCCTTTCAGAAGCCTTTCCGCACCGTCACCCTCCGCGCGCTCACACGCGCTCGCGCCTTCGCCGTCACCCTCCTCCCTAGTCTTCGCTCGCTGAAGTTTTTCTTTCTTCTCCTCCCTCTCCTTCTTTTCCTTCTTCTCCTTCTTGCCCTTATTCGCTTTCTTCTCCCTCTTCTGCCTCTTCTCCGTCTTCTGCCTCTCCTTCAGCATCGTCTCCTTCTCTTTCGTTTCACGTAGATTCTTCCCGCTAACCGTCCTCCTAAGCCCCTTCAACTCTTCGTCTCCGGAGCCTTTCCCCCCGGCGCCTTCGTCCTCCTCGCATTTTCCCCCGGGGACTTCACTCCCCTCGTGTTTCCTTCCGCCGTCTCCCCCCGCGGCCGCTTTAGCAGCCACCACTCCGCAAACTGCAGTGGAGCCACGCTTCAGAAGCGGATCGCGCATCGCGCCCGCATGCGCAAGCCGCCGCGCAGGACTGTTTCGCCGCGTACTCCGCAGTAGTCGCAGGGGCGCGCTTGCGCCGATCGGCGTAAGCAGCGCGACAGGCGCGACAGACTCGATTAACGCAAAAGGTGGAACATGAAACGCGGATCCGACAGCGATCGTGACGCAAAGCGCCGCGGCATTTGGAAGTGACCGCGAAAGCACAATACACGGCGGTGAAAGCGCCGCCATTGGCAGGTCTTGCTGCCAAGAATCATTGGTCCGAAAAATGACTAAGAGTGACGATTTATGTGAAGAACCTCAGAAAAAAATTTCCGCGTTACAAACTAGATCAGTTACAAATGTGAGCCGTGTACCGCGTCATTACCAACATTCGATGACCCAAAATGCAAGAGAAGCCTCTGTTATCAGAGCATAACTTTGTTTCTACCCTGTGCAAATTCTGTCAGTATGTCAGTGCGTATTTAGTGATGGTTAAAACAAGAGGCTCCAATAATGCAGCCGACCAATTAGGCTTTTCCACAAGAAACCACCCAACGTGAGCATTTCTACTAACTCTCATCTATAAAAGCAGAATATGAATCGGCGCTCCAGCAGCAGCAGCAGCAGCAGCGGCAGCAGCAGCGGCAGCAGCAGCGGCAGCGGCAGCGGCAGCAGCAGCAGCAGCGGCAGCGGCAGCAGTAGTGGCAGCGGCAGCGGCAGCGGCAGCAGCAGCGGCAGCGGAGGCGGCAGCAGCGGCAGCGGCAGCAGCGGCAGCGGCAGCGGCAGCAGTGGCCAGGGTAAGGGCAGGGCGGGAGGGAGGGGGGGGCGAGCAGCGCTGCTAGCTCTCATCCCCTTCAAAGGCGCCCAGCTCCTTCATTTCCTCCATAAAAGCAGAATACGAGTCGTCAATACTGGCTGGTTTATTCGGCGCAGCAGCAGCGGCAGCAGGGGTAGCAGCAGCAGCAGGAGCAGCCCGAGCAGCAGCAGCAGCAGCCTTTGGCTTGGGCTTCATCAGTGCATCCTGCCTTCTCACCCGCACGGACGCTGGGACCTGGTGGTGGGAAAGGTGGTAAGGGGAGTTGTGTGAAGTGATGGAGTGGTGGAGGAGAGTGAGGGATAGACGAGTTGGGCAAGGGGAGACAGCAGCAGCAGCGGCCTTTGGCTTGGGCTTCATCAGTGCATCCTGCCTTCTCACCCGCACAGACGCTGGGACCTGGTGGTGGGAAAGGTGGTAAGGGGAGTTGTGTGAAGTGATGGAGTGGTGGAGGAGAGTGAGGGATAGACGAGTTGGGCAAGGGGAGACAGCAGCAGCAGCGGCCTTTGGCTTGGGCTTCATCAGTGCATCCTGCCTTCTCACCCGCACAGACGCTGGGACCTGGTGGTGGGAAAGGTGGTAAGGGGAGTTGTGTGAAGTGATGGAGTGGTGGAGGAGAGTGAGGGATAGACGAGTTGGGCAAGGGGAGACAGCAGCAGCAGCGGCCTTTGGCTTGGGCTTCATCAGTGCATCCTGCCTTCTCACCCGCACGGACGCTGGGACCTGGTGGTGGGGAAGGTGGGAAGGGGAGTGAGGGATAAACGAGTTGGGCAAGGGGAGACAGCAGCAGCAGCCTTTGGCTTGGGCTTCATCAGTGCATCCTGCCTTCTCACCCGCACGGACGCTGGGACCTGGTGGTGTGGAGTGGAGTGGTGGAGGGAAAGGAGAGGGTGGGAGATACACAAGGAGGGTGAGGGGAAACAGCAGCAGCAGCAGCCTTTGGCTTGGGCTTCATCAAAGCCTCCTGCCTTCTTACTCTCACAGATGCTGGGACCTGGAGGTGTGGAGTGGAGTGGTGGATGGAAGGGAGTTGTGTGAAGTGATAGAGAGGAGGGGAGAGTGAGGGATAGACAAGGCAACAAAAAATCAGCTTCTGCTGCAGCAGCAGCACCAGAAACCTTTGGCTCGGGGTTGATTAGTGCCTCTTGCCTTCTCACTCGCACGGACGCTGGGACCTGGTGGTGTGGAGAGGAATGGTGGGAGGGACGGGAGAGAGAGGGAGATAGACAAGGAGGGTGAGGGGAAACAGCAGAAGCAGCAGCAGCAGCAGCAGCAGTAACAGACTTTGGCTTGGGCTTCAAAAGAGCCTACAGCCCTGTCACTTAGTCGACTCAAAAGCTTCAAAAGGGCCTACTGCCTCGTCCCACTTTCCAACTCCCCCTCCCCCACCTCCCCTCCCTCCAACCACACCTCCGCACACACACATGCTCGCACGAAGGTGCTCTCACCATGGCCGTCAGTTCAGGCGTGTGTTGTGCCAGAGGCCGTTTCACCACCATCGGTGCTGCCACCTTCACATACACTGGAGTGGCCGCAGTGCACACAAGGTCATGTGCACACAACCACACCCGCCCCCCCCGTCACACACATGCTCGAATAAAGGTCCTCTCACCATGGCTGTGAGTTCCGGTGTGTGTTGTGCCAGGGGTCGTTTCACCACCATTGGTGCTGCCACCTTCACGTACGCAGGAGTAGGCTTACCCTCCGCCCCTCCCCCTCCCCCTGCTCCTCCCGCTCCCCCTGCCCCCCCTGCTCCTCCTGCTCCCCCTCCCCCTGCCGTTCCTGCTTCCGTTCCTCCCCCGTCTCCTCCTCCCATCCCCCCACCCACACCGGCAAGTGCTGCTGCTGGGGGGGGGCCTGGGGGGGGTCTCATCCCAGGGGGAGGCGGGGGGGGAATGCCCCCCCCCGGTCCTCCCCCAAGGCCCATAGGCGGACGACCAGGTGGAGGGCCAGGGGGAGGGCGCATGCCTGGGGGAAGATGGGCGGGGGGGACTAGGGCGCCTGGGGGAGCGCCAGGGGCGGGGGAAGGGTGGGGGGGGCGGAGGAGGTGTGCAGGGGGAGGACCGGGGGGAGGGTGCATGGATGGGGGCGCGGATCCCATGGGTCTGGGGGGAGGGCCGGGGGGAACTCCCCCTATGGGGCGGGGGGGAGGCGGAGGGGGGAGAGTACCAGGGGGACCCCCAGGGGGGGCTCCTGGGGGGGCCATTGGTGGGGGGAAAACAGGTGGGCGCATGCCTGGGGGGAGATTGGGGGGAGTGGCGGAAGGGGGAGCTCCGGGGGTAATGCGGGGGGGAGGGGGAGGGGGAACACCAGGGGGACGGGAGGGGGGGCCGGATTCGGGGGGGGCGGATCCCAAGGGGAGGTGGTGACGGGGAGGAGGGGGAGGGGGGATTCTTTTCCCCTCGGCACCAGCGGCACCAGCGGCACCAGCGGCACCAGCACCCGGAGCAGCAGCAGCAGCAGCAGCAGGCGGACCAGTCATCTCAACCCCAGGAGGCCTAGCATCCTCCTCCTCTTCCCCTCCCCCCTCCGCTCCCCTCCCTCCCCCTGCCCCAGGTCGGGGGGGAGGGGGAGGGGGGCGCATCCCAGGGGGAAAGCCAGCGCGGGGGGGAGGAGGGGGAGGCTGTTGCAAGTGCGGGGGGCGGAATTCGGGGGGGAAACTCGGAGGAGCCATGCCAGGGGGGGCGGGGGGAGGGGGGGGCACGGGGACAGGTATGGGGAGAGGCATGGGGACGCCTGGGGGGAGGGTGTGCGCGTCTGGAAGAGGGGGAGGCGGAGGGGGCGGGGGAAGGGGAACCATTCCCGCTGCTGCTCCCCCTGCTGCCCCTGTACCATGTATTCCCTCGTCTCCTTCCCCCTCCCCCTCTTCCTCCTCCTCGTCCTCCTCATCCTCCTCCTCATCTTCATCCATTGAATCCCCCTCCTCCTCGTCCTCATCCTCCTCCTCTTCCCCTTGCCCTGCTGATGGTCTAGCTGCTCTCAGTTGAAAGCCCAGGCGAGGGGAGAGTCAAGGAGAGAATGGCAAAGATGTGACAGACAGAGCAGGGAGGTGAGTGTGGGAGGGAGCGGATGCGGAGTGAGTGAGGGAGGGAAGAGGGTGAGAAGGAGTGAGTGTGGAGTGTCATTCAGTAACCAGACATGAGGGCGTTCAGGTAGATAGGCACGGCTGCACCCTCACAGAGAGAGGCCAATACATTTTTGAGGCGCCTAAAAATCAATACATGGGCGCTTTCCCTGGCGGGGGCTGCGTGCTAACAAATGAGAGAGGGGGGCGATACGTGGGGTCATTCGAGTCGACTAAATAGGCACGGCTGGCTGTACAGGGTGAGGGCCGATACATGGGCGCTTTTCCTGGCGGGGGCTGCGTGCTAACAAATGAGAGAGGGGGGCGATACGTGGGGCCATTCGAGTCGACTAAATAGGCACGGCTGGCTGCACACTCACAGAGAGAGGGTCGATACATGGGCGCTTTTCCTGGCGGGGGCTGGCCGGTGGGGTTCAAGGTTGGATGATAGTATACGGAATCCTGTGAATGAGCGAACACCAGGGTTGGATACAAGCAGGGTACGAGAAGGATATAAGACAGGAAGAAATAAATGGCAAGTAAGATTACTCAACAAAGGGAACTCAAGCTCTGTAGCATCTCAAAACTCACAAGATTGGGCAATGTTAGCGTAGTATGCATGCTTGCATGGGATGGGGGTATGATGCATGGGATAAGGTTACGCTTCTGGATGGGTGTGGGGGCATGGATTAGATAGCCTCGGCTCAAAGCCACTTACCTGGCCTCAACTCAACACAAACGTCTGGCCAAGGGCATTAATGGAAAATGCACAACGCATGGTGCTCAGAAAAACTGCACATAGCCAGAACAAGTACCCTAATCCACTCCCTTCCACTCCCCCCCACCTATCCGCACAACCAACCTCCTCCCACTCCCCCCTCTCTCCACCCTCCCCCCTCCCCTCCTCGTCCTTCCTTTCCCCTCAACGTCACTTATTGGACCCACACGCACCTCTGGGCGAAGGTTCCTGATGGCTTCGTTGGCAGACTTGCGAGGGGCCGTGAGGTGGCTGGTGAGACGAGAGGGGCAAGGATGCAACAAGGCGGGGGAAGGGTGAAAGAAAAAAGTGCTAATTAGTTAAGTGGTTGATGGGAAGAAAGGGAAAAGAGGCAGAATGGCAGGGCGCGCAGGGGAGGACGGGTGGGGGGAGGGGAAGAGGGGAGGGTGATAGAAGAAGGCTGCACTTAGTTAAGTGCAGGTGGGAAGCGACGAAGTGGATGCAACACAATAATACGGGTATGCAAGTGACTGAGAGTGAGACGGGTAGTTAGACTGAGAGTGACGGGGGATAAGCAGCGAGTAACGAGCGGAAACATCGCTGCAATGAGGAGGCTTTTGTCTTGTGTTGAGGCAGCTGAGGCAGCTTGTAAAGGGTACAAGGGGCAGAGGTTTCTGACCAAGGGTCACCTGAACATGACTGGGTCCTCCCCCCGCTCCCTCATTTTCTGCTCAAACTCCTGCTCGCACGAGGGCGCAAGAGGAGAGATTGGGGCAACAGTGGACGGGAGAGGAGAGAACGAGTGAGTGGGAAGGCAGTGGGCTTAACATGACTGGACCCTCCCTCCCCCCGCTCCCTCATTTTCTGCTCCTGCTCGCACGAGGGGACGAAAGAGGAAGGGGGGGGGGGGGGGAGGGAGGGGGGGAAAGGGTGGGAAGAGGTGGGACGATGGGGAGGAGGGAGAAGGGGCGGGTGTCGAGAAGGAAAAAGAAGTCAGAAGTGGGTCAGGCGAGTGGAAATTATAACATCATTCTTATTTTCTCAAGACAGTGACTAACTTCTCAGACCATACATAAGGTCGATACTTACCTTCACCGCAAGCAACAATCACAGGCCCTCTGCCTTGATCACCAACACCATCTATTTGCATGGCGCCTCCAGATCTTACCAGTCCTTACAAAACAGCATACACTACATTCACCGCAGAAGTCTGGCTCTCTCCCTTCCCTTGTTCTTGAAAATTCTCAAAAACCAACACAATGCTCCCAGCCCAGCCCAGCACCATCCTTCATCACCTCCCACTTCCCCCCCCTCTCCTCCCCTCTTCTTCCCCCATTTCTCCCCCCATCCTCCCCCCCCAATCGCTCACCTTGCGTTTCTTCAGCATTGGCTGCAGCTGGCCCTCCAGCTGCCGCAGCTTTCAGTCACTCACTCACCTACTACACACACAACCCCTCTCCTCCTCACCCTCCACCACCGCACCCCCCCTTTGAATCACTCACCTTGCGTTTCTTCACCACCAGCTGCAGCCGGTCCTCCAGTTGCCTCAGCTTGTGCTTGCGAGTCTTCTCCATGGGCCCCTCGGACTCTGCATTCACAACCAGTCACAGCACACGTGTCACATGGCACACCGCACATGGCACACGGCACACACAGCACACGGCACACACGACACACACACGCACGCAATGGTCTAACAAGGGTCTGACATTGGTCTGACAAGGGTCTAACAAGGGTCTGACATTGGTCTGACAAGGGTCTAACAAGGGTCTGACAAAGGTCTGACAAGTGCCCGACAAATGTTATCCTCTCCAGCTGCCTCAGCTTGTGCTTGCGGTTCTTCTCGAAGCTCGGACGAAAAAGAGGATTTGAAGAGGAAGTTACAAAAAAAAAAAAAAAAAAAAAAAAGTGGAAAGGCATAAGAAAAGGGTCATCCAGATACGCTCACGGATGGACGCCAGGTCGCTGCGTCGGACCCAAAATTTCATGGCAATTATAGAAACGAAAGAAAGCGGGAGGACGCACTCGCGGCGTTGAGCTTAGCGATCTGCTCGCGAATGGCGACCGGATCGCTTCGAAGAACGCCGGTCTCGCGGACCTTGCGGCGCTCCACCTTGTTCTTCTTGATCTCGCGCTTCCGCTGCTCCTTGCGGAACGAGTCCGTCGGATTCATCGTCCGCCCGCCCTTGGTCTTCCTCATCCTGAAGGATTAATAATTCTGCCGGATTAATATTTCTGCCGGAGTAATATTTCTGCGGGATGCTTAGCTGGATTAATATTTCTGACGGTGAATTTAGGGCTAAGATTTCTCAAGCTTGAAGATACCTGCGACGCAGTATTCTAAGGCTCTGTTATTTAAAGCACAACGGTGTACTCATTTGAAGTTTCGAGAAAACAACTATCCGTAATTTGCAATAGTTTAGCTAACTTCGAAGGGTGGCTAAGTCAAAAGGATTGTTGAAACGACAGCGCTCTCAGGCCCTGGTGATCAGGGTAGATGGCGCATACGCAGCGAGCATAAACCTGGAGTTTCTAACGAGTATTATGCAGAGATTAATGAATGAAGCAGCAAATTCAAACTTCACGCGTAAACCGCGAGTCCCGCGCCGAGAACAAGTATCATACGCAGCGGTTAGGGCGATCAGATCAGAGTGACGGGGAGAATATTGAACTGAGCCGAGCTTCTGAGATTCCAGAAGGAAGACCAGCAGCGAGGCCAGGCGAGCAGCAGCAGCAGTTGAACTACTCGGGCCAGACCAGACCCAACCAAAACGTAAAATGGAACCAACCTTGGGATCTCCTCCACTGGAACGGCGAAACAAATGCAGAGCGGCGAGAACTGGTCGGCGAATGGAAAGTCATTCTCGCTTGCTCGCAAAAACGTTACCCCATTCGGGAATGGGGTAAGGGCTAAACCCGCAGGGTTCCGCGCCGCCCGTGGGGACCACCTTTCATGTAGTTTCCGATTCGGAGAACCACCTTTGCTGGGTCGCCATTCATCTTCTTGGTGCCGCCTCGCATCGCTCGCAGCCATGGCGCGTAACGAGGAGAAGGCGAACGCCGTGCTTAATCGCTTCTGGGCCGCGAAGCAGGACGAGAAGCGCAAGCCGCGGGAGAAGCGCCCGTTCCTCGCGTCCGAATGCCACGACCTATCAGACGCGGACAAATGGCGGCAGCAGATCTTGCGCGAGATCGGACGGCGAGTAACCGAGATTCAGAACCCCGGGTTAGGCGAGCACCGAATTAAGGATCTTAACGACGAGATTAACAAGCTTATACGGGAGAAAGGGCACTGGGAGAAACGGATAGTTGAGCTTGGTGGCCCGAATTACGCGAAACAAGGGCCGAAAATAACTGATGCGGACGGCAAAGAAGTCGGCGATGGAGACGACGAGCTGCCGGCCGGCTCCACGACCGGCAAGGGGCTTGGTTACCGTTACTTCGGCGCTGCGAAAAATCTGCCGGGCGTTCGCGAGCTTTTCGAGATGCCGACAGCGCCGACTAAGAAGCGGAATCGGTACGAGCTTTATAAGCGTATCGATATGGATTATTACGGGTACAGGGACGAGGAGGACGGGATCTTGACGCGGCTCGAGACGGAGGCTGAGCGGGAGATTATAGAGAAGTCGGTGCGAGAGTGGGAGGCGCTCGAAGCGGTTAAAGCCGAGGCACGCCGCGCCGTGAAAAGCGGGGAGGAAGCTTCGATCCGGGTACAGGCGGATCTGCTAGACGAGCTCGGCGCGCCGATCGAGACCCGGGAATCGCGGGAGCGACGCGGGGTCGTAGCACAAGAGAGAGAGGTAGCGGACGAGGAGGAAACGGAAGAGGATCGCGAGGAATCGACGGAGCGCGCGAGGCGCGAGGAGGCGGCGTTAGACGCGGCGGAAGAGGCGGCGCTGGATGCGGTGGGCGGGCGGCGGTTCGTGGCGCACGTGCCGCTGCCTGATGAGAAGGAGATCGAGCGAATGGTGGTGGCGAAAAAGAAGGCGGAGCTCTTAAGTAAGTACGCGAGCACGGAGCTTGTGCAGGAGGAGGAGGAGGCTAAGGAATTGCTGAATATCAAGCGGTGATGATGTGGATTAGTGGGTGATGTTAGGTCTACGGAGGCTGAAGTTTTAAGATGTTGAAATGCCAGCTGGCGTGGCACGATTGGAGGGGACGTGGCATGTATGGGTGGAGGCGAGCTGATGCAGGAAGAGGAGGAGGGGAAGAGAAGAGGTTGGTTCATCTTGAGTGGTGATGGGATGGCGTGGAGATGCATGGGCATGCTGACGTGGCAATGGCGAGTATGGTTGTGGTAGGGAAGGGGAGGAGGAAGAGGAGGAGGAGGAGAAACTGTGGGGAGGGGAGAGAGGAGAGAAAACGAGAGGAGATGGTGAAAGAGAGGAGGCGAGGTGGAGGAGAGGAGGAAGGCGAGAAGAGAGGAGGAAGGAGAGAGGAGAGGAGGGAGGAGAGAGAAGAGAGGAGGAGAGAAGTAAGGACAGAGGAGGAGAGGAGGAAGGAGAAATGAGGAGAGGAGGAAGGAGAGAGGAGGAGAGGAGGAAGGAGAGAGGAGGAGAGGAGGAAGGAGAGAGGAGGAGAGGAGGAAGGGACAGGTAGTCAAGGAGGTGTTGTGTGTGACCCGTAACCCTAAACCGTGACAAGGTGATCTTTGAGCCAAGTAGAAAAGAAGGCTGATATTGAGGTCAGGGGTGGATGTGAATGAGCCAGCCTAAGTTAGCTGTATCTGTGATAAAGCAAGTGGAGAGATAGGTCAAGGTGATCAACTGATCATGTTTAGCTGGGATTCAACGGATCCAATTTTGTATGAATTAAAATGTGCACTTGTTTTCTCCTAGAATTCGGAAAACTGACAGCCGTTGTTTCTGGGTGGTGTGGGCTGTAATCAGAGGAAAGACTGGCTCAGAATCACATGCCTGTCACTGGGCATACCATACCTGGGTTGCTTGCAGTGATGTGCATCTGGGCATCTCTCACATACAGCAAGAACGCAACACGATACATCCTTCCTTGTACAGTGATCTCCATTATCCCTAAACATTCATGCGGCACACTTTTGAGCAAAATTTGCTATGGTTGTTTGTTCCCTCAGGAAGGGTTTGACTCGGGCAGTAAAATTTGCCTCTGGAATTTGGCCTTGAGCACAGCAGGGTTGATTGACTCATCCAACAGCTCTAGTAGACGTCCGGTGGGGCAAGTGGGTCCCTACCGACGGTCTTGAACGAGGTCTGAATCTGCCGCAGCAATGCCTCGTCCCTGGGAGTGTGGAGAATAGAGAGGGCGGAGTTGGGCGTGGGGGAGGGAGAGGGAGAGGGAGAGGGAGAGGACAGGAGGGAAAGAGATGGACTCAGTGGCTCCCTACGGACAGTCTTGAACGAGGTCTCAATCTGCCGCAGCAATGCCTCGTCCCTGGTAGTTGGAGAGGGGAGAGTGGGGATGTGGGTGTGGGAGGGGGGGGGGGGGGTGACAGGAATAAAAGGGGTGCTCTCAAGGGGGTCCCTACGACGATCTTGACTGGGGTCTAAATCTGCCGAAGCAATGCCTCGCCCCTAGGAGTGCGACGATGGGGAGTGGGAGTGGGAGTGGGGGTGGGAGTGGGAGTGGGAGTGGGAGTGGGAAGAGAGCGAGAGGACCAAAAAGAAGGGATGGGCCCAGGGAGTTCCTGCCAACGTTGGGACTGAAACAGCTCCATCTGCCAGAGCAATGCCTCATCCCTGGGTGTGTGGAGATGAAGAGAGTGTACAGAGTGGAGAGGGGATGGGGGAAGAAGACACAGTAAGAATTTTGAGTCTGGCTTATAAGGGGTTCCACAAGAGTACGTAGAGCTTGTTCTTAGCTTTAGTCAAACACGGGCAGAGAAAAAAGGGGGACAGCAAGCCATGGACAGCAAAGGGCGGAGTGGAAAGATGGCAAGAGATGCGGAAGGATGGGTACTTACGTCTTCCGGAATTTATACGGGGGCGGAGTGGAAAGATGGCAAGCTAAAAAAAAAAAGGACGAATACATACGTTTTCCAGAATTTATCCGGTGCGTTGACAAAATGGGCGTAGAGCTTGTTCTTGGCGGCCGTGACTGTAATGAGGGCGTGGCCCAGCGGGCTGTCGATCTCAAAGTCGTAGTACAGCTGGTTGCTGTCCGCGTCCCGGTGCTGCCCCTGCTTGATCTCGTCCGCTGACAGAATCAAATCCTGCAAGAAACAGGAGGGCGGGGTAGGGAGGAAGGGGGTTGGATTTGGGGGCAGGGGTAGGTAAAGGGGGTTCTGTGCCGCACCGGCTTCTATTTCAGAAGACGTGAGGAGCGGGAAATGGCAGGAGGGACGGAGGTGGGGCTGCTGCTGTCTGGGTTTCTGTAAACAGGAACATACGTCAAACTCTTCTTTGTTGCCAAGGTCCACGTGCACATGGCGGAACTATACCTCAAACAGTTAGCTTTCAGTCATCAACTTTCCGTCCATCCTTACAGCCATCATATCAGCCGTTCACTCATCTATCTCCATGCAACGATACCACCTCTTCCCCCCACTCGTCCACCTCTTCCGCATCTCCTCCCCAAACCTTTCACAAGCCCCATCCGTTCCCATCGATAGCAGATTCCATTTAGTAATTGGAGTAATTCAAGTGTTTGGTCAAAAGTGCAATTTTTTATATTTCGTCAACAGTGCCTCACAACTCACCTTCAGGTTCAGTCCGGCAGTGCAAGTTGTTCGAGGCGCCTCAAGAGTAGTTCTTTCAATTGTATTTTAACTCAATTCCAGCCAATAACTCACGCTCTGGACGGTTGGCATCCGACAGAGCAATACCGCGCAGCACGTTTGCTTAGAGTACTCCCTTTCTGAAATTAGAGATCCTTCAGGGTGAAACGATCTCACGCACCTCTTCACCTCTGCAGGTTGACGACGTCCGAGAGAGCGATGTCGCTCAGCACGTTGTCTTACGCACTTGAAGAGTGGTTTTATTGTTTTTTAACAAATAATCTTGTACGGTCAGACGATCCCACGCACCTGCAGGTTGACGTCCGAGAGAGCGATGTCGCTGAGCACGTTCTCCTGGGGGGGAAGACGGCGGAAGCCTGGCGCACGAGGGGGAATAGGGGTAACGGCAAGGCGGAGGGGGAGAGTGGGGGAAGGCGGAAGAGAGTTGCGGGACGTAAGTGGAGGAGCTTTCATTATAGGACTCATCAAAACACGTCCGAAAGAGCAATGCCTCCCAGCACGTTGCGATTCGTGAGCCAAAAGGACTCGTTATTCGTGCCGTTGCTCCGCTTCTCCACCTTGCCAGTCCCTCGCTCCTTCCAATTCTGAGACGTGTCGATACTCACCGGCGAGGAAATCTTCACATTGCGGTTCTTCGGCCAAATGAATTCACTGTCTGTGCGTTCACTCGTAAACGCCGTATGTTCAGGACGCCTTCACGAGCCACTTGAGCCTTTTATGCGCTACACGGTTGCACTTACCAGCGAGGAAGGTGACGTAAGTCTTCACATTGCGGTTCTTCGGCCAGAAGAACTCGCTGTCCGTGCCGTTGGTACCCTTCTCCACCTTGGAGATCGCGCGCTCCTTCCACTCGTCAGGAACGCCGTAAATATACTCCGCCGTCGCCTGCTTGCTCGCGTTCCCGCCGTACCCGCCATAGGACGACGCGCTGGCAGCTGTGCCGTAGTACGTTTTCAATTCCACGTCGGCGAATGCGGGGTCGACGGAGCCGCAGAAAAGCGCTGCCGTGGCGGATAGGGTCACCGCAGCCGTGCCAAGCCATTTTGCCACGTCAGCGGGTTGAGAAGTGACGTCATCCTTACGCGCCTCGGCTCGGCATTTTAGCGAGGCAATGCGAGTCGACGGCGAGGGGGTGGGAGTGTGGGAGAGGGAGGAGGCGGGGAGCGAAGCGGACACGCCAGCAGCAACGGTTAGAGCTGCGGGGAGGGACGTCACGGACGCCATGGCTCAGCTACCAAGACCGAAGCAAGAAAGAGTCTGTTGACCAGCGCAACGGTCACCACCGCTACTCTCACTCCTCGCCCTAACACCAACGACCTTCTAGGACCTAGTTTCCTGTCCGCCTGAAACAATCTGTCTTACTGAACAACGCTGGCACAATCCAGACCCAGACTGCCTGAAACAAGTCATCTAGGAGCTGGAATGCGGAAGAGTCTGGATTCTGAAACCTAGATTCTTGATTTCGGGTTACCAGCATTGGGCTGGGGAGGTGGGAGAGATGGCGTGGCACTGGTGATACGGAAGGAAGAGGTGATTGGAGGAGGGAATGTCGGATGACAAATCACACGAGGAAGGTGACGTGGAACAAGATGGATTCAGCCCCGATGACGCCAGAAATTTCTTGCTGTTCCCACTTGGGATTTACGCTAAAGTGTGACGCGTCAAGCAGTCGCATTCCATCCATTTTCCGCGTGTCAGCCACCACGCTGTATAATACGAGCATAACAGAACTATAAAAACACATGAGACAAGGCATAACATGACTGAAAAAGGAAACAAAAACCCTCATTCCACACTGTATTTTATACCTTATTCCCCTCTACCCTCGCTTACAACATGGGAAAACATTGCACCACTAAAGAACACCCAAGACCCTCATGAATCCACCGCTATAACACTAGATAGATGCTACGGCGTGATGCCATTATGCAACTCTATAACCATAAGGACCACCAAACAAGCCCCCCCACACGAAGTTGCTCCTGCTGGTGCTGCTGGACAGGGACGACGGAGCAAAGGGGGTTCCCAAGGCACACCATCGTGTAGCCCCACAACACTCTGTAAACTTCCGTCTACATCGCATGTCTCCGGCGGGGATTTTATAGCGACACTGCCACGACCACTGGGCCCGCCACCAGCAGCTCCTGCTGGCGCTGCTGCATGGGGATGAGGAAGTGGAAGACCTTTTCCCCAACAAGCACTCTACATAGCCAGCCTCCTGCGGGGATCCCCAGCAACACTGCCACCAGCAACACTTGAACCAACAAGCCCAGCAGCCTGCAGCTGCTCCTGCTGGCGCTGCTGCGCGGGGATGAGGAAGTAGAAGGCCGGCTCGCTTCGCAGCGCTGCAGGCGGATCGATGTCGTCCAAGACGAATTCCTTCATGGAGCGAGATACCTCGTCCGTTTGGAACGGGCAGCTGGTAGGGGGGGGTGGGGACGGGAGGGGGAGCAGGCAGGGAGCAGCACAAGCATGAGGCGGAAGATCGTTGCGCAGCGCTGCGGGTGGGTCGATATCGTCCAAGACGAATTCCTTCATGGAGCAAGACACCTCATCCGTTAGGAACGCGGGCAGCTGCGAGCGCGATGGAAGAAAGAGGTGACTTTTGAGTCGACTCAAAAGTCACGCGGGCAGCTGCGAGCGCGAGGGAAGCGCATGTGTTGGGTGCAGGTGGATTGATAATACATTTCATTCGCTGGAAATGCGCTGGAGAAAGTCACGAACTCGCTCACTTATTGCCTTTTCCTGGAAGGAAGGGAAGTGAATTTGAAGTCCTTTAAAAACCATAGAAAGTCAAACGCCAGTCACATAAGTGATCTTTGAATCGCTTACCTCTTGTCCTCCTTGAGCAGGAAGGGAGCATCTTCGGTCATCAGAGCCCACATCT